TTCCACTGCGCCGGGCTCATCTTGGTGTTCAATTCCTTGGCAATGGAGTCTGCCATTTCGAGCTTTGACCCCATTGAGAAATGATCCGAGAAATGCAGCGACCAACCGTCGATCGTCGGCAGAAAGTCGGGCCTCATGCCGGGCCTTATGCCGGGCTTTTTCTGCCTGGTCGCCCACCAGTCCTCCACATTGACGGCGAGTGAGAGGAAGCCCTGGGTTGTGCCATCACAGCCCTTGGTGGGGTCAAATCGAGAGGTGTCACCACCAGCTTCGTCGGTACAGGTATTTCGATTCCTCACAGCCTTACTACCGATACCCTGACCCATCTCTTCATGTCGGACACGGGCTTGTGCATTGGTGGTGCAGAAGAATGCAAGTGCAGACACGACACACGCAGTTGCCGGTGCCGGTGTCGGAATGGAGCCAGAAGCCTCAAAATTACACATTTGAACTGTATCTAGCACCTCATCAGGCTATTGATGGTTTGCATATTACAAGCGTGCATCTCGTTTGAGTGGAGGTGCACGGGCAAGCAGGGTAAGGGGGGGCGGGGCGGGGGGTCGGCAGCGGTGGTGGCCAGCAAGTCAGGTACAAGACTTCTGGAAGCCTGGTGTCATCAACCAATCGGTGTTTCTCTGAGCCCACTAGTCACACGTCCCGACATTTGCTTTGGGACGTGAAGCACAGACCTCACCCTCTCGTCACCGACCTGTATTTTCCAAGCTCTCCTAGAAGCAAGAAAATTTTTCCTCTGTCAACGCCGACGAGATACTTCAGAGCTACAACACTGCAACCATCTCATAAAACCAACGGACTGAAGCCACATTCGCTCGACTTGCCTTGTTGAGCCATCTACTCTTCTTCGTCGACTCAGTATGCAACACCACGACCAGAAATATGGAGTGGGCGCACCAGGACATCCCTCGTGATGCTGCTTGCTGCTTCCTTCCTCCTCCAGTCAGGCTTGCTGCTGCTGCTGCTGATGCTGCTGTATCGACAAAGCCCTCTCTGCCTACCCGTCTGGCCAGACAGGAAAGGACAGGATGGTCTGCAACCCAACAATACGCTCTCCGGCAACACCGGCGCCCGTTCGGCCTTGCCCTTAAGTGGCTGCAGGTTCTTGCTTCAGCTCTTCTATGGAGCGCCCGAGAAGACGAAGTTTCCCCCCCACGTTCCTCAGACACTAACCAAGCTCACCGAGCGTCCAACGGATCCCCCGCACCCGCTCTCTCGTTCACAGGATCAGGACTGGTCAATCATATGCTAGCCTGCCCGCCAGCATCTCCTAGTCCTATCACGGCTCCACGTTGCTGTCCATCCACACAGCCATGCCTCACTTTTCGTCAACAAAGTGACGAGCCATAACTGACAGCCACCCCCCTCCCCCCATTCATTCCACCAATTTGACCACACTACAACATCTGATCGGCACCTCCCAATGCCGCCCGTCCGGGTTTGCACTCATCGCTTCATGCGCTGGTTGAGTTGTCACCGCACCGGCGCTTGCTCTTTTGTTCACAACGCCTTGATCACAAGCCTGATGGGCGCCGAGCTGGTGCCATCTGATCTGCGGCGACTTGCGGGCCGCGGTCGGATCTGCGGCGACGGTTCAAGCGTGCGATGGTCGATTTGGATCCATATCCATTCTACGTGAATTGCTTAGTTTAGAGATTTGCCAGTATTTTTACGCTCTGCGTAAACAAACCAAAATCCTCAGCTCTTCCAGTTGCTGATGCGATTTATACAATCTGGCATAGAGCGAATCACCCGTTGCTGGGCACCTGGCTTTGAGAGATCGTCTTGGTCTTGAAGATAGGTTGGGAATCAGCTGAGGTAACACTCCATACAGAGAGGAGCGTGCGATCTGTCTGCCGAGTGACTGCACGTAGATGAGCTGCATCCCGTGAATCGCGGCGAATGCTGGGGGAATTACCCCTCCTCCCCTGCCTGGGGTGGGACGCCCTGCATTTGACATTCCACGAAACGTGACAGCATGGCATGGCATTGGGGTGACACTAGAAGTCCCAACGTAAACGTTCCCTAGTGTTACAGCATTATTACTTTTGTACATCCGTCATACTGATACAGCTGTTGCGGCATGTCCGCTGCAAGCCTCAAGCCCAGAGCCCAGCCAGTTGCAACAACACCCCTGCCCCCCTCATCTTTTCCTCCCCCCGCGTCTTCTGCGTCAATCAAACTTGACTCGCTCGAGGAACACCCAGGCGCACGCGCACACTTTGGCTGTTTGCGGGCTCCAACTACATTACACACAGCGCCAGCAAGTCATCCTACGCCTGCACATTGGTCGCCCAGATGGCCCAGACGCTTTTGAGATAGCCCGCTGTCAGGCAATATCTAGGGTCGAAGTTCGTGTCCTCGTGCGCCGCCGGCAGGCGATACGTCGGCAGTCCGTCTTCGCCAACCTCTTCGGCGGGGGCGGCGCCGCCGCCGCTGCTCTCAACCTTCGCTTTCAGCTCTGGCGCCTGCTCCGACGCCTGCTCTTGCTCCTGCTCCTTCTCTGCCGCAGAAGACGCGGCAATATCGGCTAGTTGCTGCAGCAAGCCTTGGCTCTTGGCCATGGAGCGTAGATGATCAGCAATTTTATCGCTGACTATGATGTCCCATGCTGCCGGCGAGGTGAGTAGAGATCGCAGCTCCTTGAGCAGCTTGAACGCCTCTTCCTTGATCTCCTCGACCTTGGTCAACTCGATGAGTGCCATTGCGGGGAGCGCCGTGAAGTGATGGCTCATTGGGCTCGACACGTGGGGCGTGACGGCCACGAGGCTGACTAGCTCCTTGCAAGGCCAGAGGAGATCCGTCGCCTTGGACGCTGGGTGACACATGTACGCCAGTAGACGCGAATGCCAGTACGCTAAGTGGACGACAGGGAAGACGGCTGGCTCGATGTGTGGGGGTAGATCTTCACGAAAGTTTTCAACGTAATCGTTGAGCACCCCGCCGAGGACTTCGTCTGCGAACGTAACTGATCCTAACGTTGCACGAGCGCCGGAAATGATATTACAGGCTTGGTTGAGGATTTTGGATGCGCCTGATTAGGGTTCTGTCAGTTACATATCATACACAAGGGTGGAGAGAAACTCACGAATGAGTTGCCACGTCGTCTCGCCCACGACCTTTGCAACATCTGGGCTGACGACCGTTGACTCGGTCCGGGTCATCGGGAGCGTACCGGACCCTACTGCGTTCCACCTGTCAAGGAGCACGAGAGACCACCACAGCCGCACACGGAGATGCGTATCAGAATCGACATCGACATCTCCGTTGAGCTCAAGCGAAGACCCGGCCTGAGCACTATAGAGCTTCATGGTCCATGCAGTTGACACGGCCCGGCCGAGCAAGGATTCCTTAATATGTCCGGCGCAGCTGGAAGGGCGGTTGCTTGCCTCAATGAAGAGCAAGAGAAGCGTCTGCAGGTGGATGAAGTGCGCAGCTGACGTCCGCGGCTCTTCCCCGTTCATTTCCCACTCAACCAACATCTTCATTGCGAGACTGGCGTCGCCCATACCCATCGTGGTGAACGATGGGAAGGACTGCATGGTACCGTGGAGAGCTTCAAGGAAAGCCTCTCGTAGCATGCCAGGGCATTGAGCAAGATAAACCTGCAGGCGAGTCTTGCTGGCAGGCAGGATAGGTAGGTAGGGGTGCACCATTGTCAAGTAGCTGATGAAGGTTAGTAATGGCTTCGATGAGATCTAGTCGGTAAGCCTCACCCTTGAAAGTTGGCATCGTCGACCTCGCGCGGCTGAGTGATATCAGCTATGTCGCCAACTGAGCTATCCGGGCCTACAAGCGGAGCCCTAGATGGCGTGTCTGGCCTTAACGATAGTGGCTGCGGGGCCAGGCCATGCGCCGAGTACGGCGCATTGTGTCTCTCAGGTGTTGCCGAAGCTTGAGGTAGCTGTTGTGTTTGAGGCTGGCTGCGTACTTCTGAGCTCCACGTCGACGGCGGTTGGCGGGGGGCGGTTGGCGTCGTAATATCAGCACTAGAGATGCTCGAGAACGTGCGTTTGCGACTGGCTTCTTCGCCAGTGTTCTCGCATAGTCTACCTTCGATACTGTGGATGCGATCGGCCAGCTCCTTTATGTACCTGTTGGTTTGACGTCAGCATGCACACGTTGCGAAGAATGAAACGCTCCAGCGGTTTCGTCACTGGTGCTTACCCTTTGCTCGGTCCTCGTTTCTGGGGAATTCGACTAAAGGAACAGCGCTGAGCCGACCGTCTACAATTTGAGCATGGGTTGTCGCCTAAATCTGACTGCGCATCGCATTTGACCTTTTTCCTACGACACTCGTCGCAAGCGCGCGAAACCTTGGAGCGCTTCCTTGGAGGAGTGCTGTCGTCTTGATTATTCTGTGGATACGGCTGAGGATGGTGATGGTTGATGGGCACTTGGCCAGAATTCTGCATGGGCGTTTGGTTCGGTGTCTGCATCGGTGTCTGCGTAGGGTTCTGCTGTTGTATCGGCGCTTGCATGGAATTTTGTTGAATAGGATTAGGCTGCATCGGCGCCTGCTGCATCGTATTTTGCATTTGCGCCTGCGGCATGGGGGTCTGCTGTATCGAGGCCTGGGGCATTGGTGCCTGCAGCGAGGGCTGCGGTGCAGACTGCAAAGGAGCTGCAGACAGCGATACGGAATCAGGTTCCTCTGATGTGAATGCATGGGATTGCGAGTCTTCGGGTTCAGTCAAATCGTTGCGCATGTCGGTGTCTTCGGCTTGTGGCAAGATGCCTCGAAGATTGGGGTCGTCAAACTTCATGTTGGGGTCCGTCACAGGCAACAGGGGCTCCGAGGCAAGATCCTGGCCAAGCTGGGCTGCGAGTTGAAGCTCCTCTACACTGGCGGCGTGTGAGGTATGGTGCTGGGGCCCCGAAGGCTCGTGGTGTTGGAGCTCTCGCGCGTTGGCATCGCTGTCGTGAGGATGGGGAGTGTGGTCGTCATGTGTGCCATCGTACAGGCTTTCATCAATGACATCGTGCGTCACCTCGTGGCTGACATCGTGCACATCGTGAGCGACGTTTTCAGCGCCGTCGTGGTCGAAGTGGGACGTCGTCTCTTGGTTGTTGGCTGTAGGGGATGGGTATGTCTGAATTCTGTCGTCGCCGCCCACTTCTTCCCCCTGCGCCACGTCCATGTCAGGAGCTTTCGGATTCAGCCAGTCGGGGAGTGCTCAGCGATATAACTATTCACTATATTGATGTCTTCGTTAGCATGTGGAACCATGTCAAGTCGTGTGCCGACAGCATGGCGAAGCTACACGCCCCAGTCGACCAAAAGCTGGGTCTCGCTGTCAAACGCAGTCCTAAAGCGCCCGGGGTATTTATATTTGCACATGCGCGGATGTTTGAAGCAAAGCTGAAAAAGAACTCCCCCTCGGTTTCATTGATTGCTACGGCCAGGTTTCTCGTTTCCTTGACGCGTCACTGCCCCAAGGTGCCCACCCGTGGGGCTGGCCCGATGCCCCCGTGCTGCCCCAACTCTGACTTCGACACGCGCCGGGGGGGCAAGAGAAAAAAAAAAAAAAAACAACACGCGGGCGACGCAGGCTCAGCAGCACAGATTGCTTGATTCACAGTGCAGCTTGTTTGCGCGCCGAGAGTCGCGACAGGAATGAAGCAAGCAAATTGTCCACAAGGACTGGACTGACCTGAAGGTGATGCGACAAGCGCGCTTCGCGATGGGCGACGGAATAATATCGAATCGATGAACGGAATAGGAAGAACCAGATGCCGACCGGAGGTTGCGACGGTACGTCTGGCGGGCGTGGAGTTTTCAGTCGAGGATAAATGGTCGGCCCACTGTAGACCCCGGGCCGATCGCTTGTCACGTGGTGAGCATTGAGGTTATGTAATCTGCATTGTTTCTCGGGAACGATATCAGGCACAAGTGGTGTATACTGCATGCCCTATATATGATCATACATCTGCTGGCCACCTGCCTACCTACCTGAGTTATGTGATGCACTTCCATCACGCAATATCTGATGCGGCTGCTGGCAGACAGTCGACGTGGCTTCCCTTGTCCTAAAATTCAAGGCGGATTCCGATTGTCAAAGCCTGGTGGTTCTCCGAGCTGGCGAGTTAGATTAGGATAATTACTCTTTTGTATTGGACACAACTCTGAAATCAATATGTTTTTGGCTCAGGTTTCCGGGCCGGCGTTCCTGGCTGGCGTCCCATGGTTTTGACGGAGGTGTCGCTGTGTCGGGGTCACGATACTCTGTCTTGAACAGGTAAACCTCCAAGGATTGAAGAGATGCCCTCGATACCCTTGAGTCTCTTCGTCCTAGGCGCCGAGATTTCCATACGCTTAACGAGACTTGTTGCCTGGCTTGGTTTTGCACGGAAAATTCCCGCGTCCGAAGCAACCCGAGAAAGGATTCGAAAGTGTTTTTTTTTTTCGATAAACATTGTGCAAGTCTTATACAAACATTCGAGAAGGGGCCAGACTATTCGGCCTTGAGAGACACGAGACCAAAAGACCCAGCAGCTGCATAGTAGTGATGATATCATGACTTCAACGCTGCCGCCATGCAAAAGTTCTATAGGCACCGCTGATCCCCCCCTGAGGTAAAGTCTGATGATGTATACCGTGACTATCGCTCACCGCGTGGGCCTCCACCACGAGCATATCTGCAATACGAACACACCAAACGACGTCTACGAAAATGTCCTCTTGGGGCCTGGCAGCGAAATTTCACCAGCTCCTACTCGAAAACCACCAGATCCAGTCAAACTGAGATGCCAGGGTACCATATGCAAACCATCGGACAACCTCGACCCAAGCAACAGCCCTGGCCGCGAAGCCCATCACAGGGCACCCCCGAAAGCATCAAGAAAACGACAGCCTACCCCTCGGTCCGAGACCGCGCATTCCAAAATCCCTTTCCATAGCTCACGAGGAGCTCCTGCCCCTTGCCCACGCCGCCCTTCCCCGGTTGCCCCCGCCCCGGCGCCGGCAGGACAAAGACGCCCATGCACCGCTCGCCAAACCGGCGGCTCCAGACCTCCCGAAACTCGGCGTTTGGCCGCGCCGCCACGCCGCGGTAGTCATTGACGAAGCGCGCCTCATTGCCGCCGCGCGCCGCGTCGACGGCGACGGCCTCGTCACGGTCGAGCCAGAGGTCGTAGTCCGACTCCTCCTCCTCTTCCTGCCCGCCCTCTCCGACAGGCGGCCGTTCACCGTGGACGGTGCCGAGGTAGAGGAGGACAAAGGCGCCGGGCTTGAGGGCGCGCGTCGTGAAGAGGCCGCTCTGTCCGCAGGCCGGGTGCGCGGCCTCGGTGATGGGCGTGATCTTGACGAGGGGGCTGATGGTCGGCGTCTGCGTGGCCGGGATGTCCGGGTCCTCGGGCCGCTGGCGCCGGAGGGCAGCGCGCTGCGAAGGTGTGAGCTGTTTGCTATACGCCGGACTGGTGATATAGGGGAGGTGGGGTGGCCAGTTCTTGGGCAGCTGCGGTGGCGCCATGGCTGTGGAATGTCCTCTTTGGCGTGGTGACGTTGCTGACTTGATGTCGTACGTTGTTGGTGTTGTGCTATGGCGAGTATCGGCGCATTGTGTGGATGTATGTCATGATCGGACCATGCTGTAGTCGAGGCGGTGCAGTGATGGAGGAGGGCACCTGTAGAAGAGGTTGAGTGGTGATAGTCAGTTCTGTCAGGAACAGAACTCAGAAAACTTCAAAGAAATTGGTCCAATCCCCGTCTGGTTCAGCGTAGCCATGGTCCACACCTCACAATCCAGTTACCCCAACATGCATGGCATCACAGAAACACAGCCAGGGATGAAAGACAAACAGGTCGTTCTACAGCTATCTACTAATATCACACTGGAGGTACTTCTTAAAGCTTTTTGACCATCCAACGCCTCACCCGCTGCCTCGGGTTTCCGAAATGCCACAAATCGCCCCCTGTGCGAGCCCGTCAACTCTCGTCGCACAGTCGAATCCTATTGAAAACCCTCCCCCTATTTCTCGTTCATCTCGCCCCAGCCATGATGCCCTGGTAGTAGGTGCGACCAAGGTGGAGCGAGTGTTGCAGATACGCATCCTCAGTCAAAGGCAGTCCAAGAATTCGGGACACTCCGTTCTGCAAAAACGTTAGCTTCTTCGCCCGTACAAAGCAGTTATGGCTGTGAGCTCTTACCTGATCGTGCTCGGTTGCATCCATCACCACCTTGGCCACGATGCTGCTCATCTCCGAAACCGCCGCCTGGCTGATCATGTCGCCGCTCTCCGCCGTCTCGCGGATCACGGGCAGACCGCTGAGAAGCTTCTCCACCACATCTGAAGGCACACGCTCCCGGCGCTCGAATCGTCGGTGGAGTGTCAGGAATGCCCGGTAGATCTCACCACCGAGACTCCAGCCGGAAACAGACTCTTCATGGCCCTCGAAGAAAGCCAAGAGAGTCGCCAGACCGTCGTAGTCGCGCTCAACAACGGCCGTTGGTGCCACCTTGTCAACCAGAACCCGGTGTGCCGCCTCGTATGACTCGGCCTGGAGGAGACACTTGACTTCGCTGATTGGGTCTGCCTTGACGCTGCGCATGTACAGCGCACGCGCCTCCCAAACCCACGCAGAGGGAATCTTGAGCGTCTGGGTGAGCGTGGTGAAGTCGGCACTGGTTTCGGACCCAATGGAGCCGGCGTGTCGAGAAAGATGCTCCTGCACCGCCTTGGCCCGTGTCTTGGGGTTGCTGAGATGTAGCAGGACGAAAGTGGCCTCGACCCAGTTACCTTCGTTGACCAGCTGATCCGCAAACGACAGGGTCGCGGCATCGGCCTTCTCAGACGCGTCAACACCGAAAGAAACCTTGCCAGTTGCAGGAAGAGCACGACCAAGCTGCCACGTGAGACGGCTATCTAGAGGCGAAAGCTGTGAGTTCTCTGGTCGAAGAATAGACTCCAAGTCGGTCGCGTCATCGGCATGGAGCTTGAGAAGACCCCAGAGGAGATCCTCACGCTGGTGGCGGTCCTGGTCGTCCCAGAGAGCATCAAAGCCCTGCTCAATGTACCACGGGTGTGGAACATCCTCACGATCCTGAGCGACGTCGTCGACAAACTTCTTGACAGCTGCAGGAATGCTCTGCTCTCGGGCGATGGCGTACCAGAGTCGCAGGCCAAATGACTGCTTCCAGTCCAGGCCGAACCGGCGAGCAATGACGAACGACTCCATCCTGTCCGCGACGGGAACACCCTTCTTCCCCTCGCATACACAGACATTCCCGGAAAGAACCTCGTAAATGGCACGGATGGCGTCCGTGAAATCAGACAAGACATTGTTGTCCTGCCACTCGGCAAGCTGCGTGCGCATATCACGCTTCGACTGGTTGGAGGTGCCAATCAAAGCAACAAGAGTTGCCAGGCGGAAGTCCTTGCCATCAACGAGCAGCTTGCAAGCTTCCTGGACCCGGTGGCCTGCAAGGGAAGTCAGCGCCTTCTCCTCGCTGGACTTGGCCAGTGCGACTGCGCGACTCGTCGCCGCGTCGACCAGGTCGGCCCAGAAGCCTGATAGCTGTCTCTTGCGCAGCTGTTCTTCGGTGGCTGCGGCGGATGGAACCACCCGGTCAAACAAGATGCTCGCGAGATCCCAGACGAGCTTCTCGTGGGCGCTGGCTGGGTTGCTCAGGTCGCTGTGGTGGAAGATGCTCTTCAGGCTGGCCGCATTAAGGGACACTGTAGGGACACCATCGACGAGGGCCACGCTTGTTGCGCGCATCTGGTTCTCAATGGCCTTGGCCGAGGACTGTTCGACGTCAGCAACTTGCTCAGAGCGCCTCGTAATTCAGGGGGGGAAGACGTACCTCGTTGGAGAACTTCATCAGGCAAACGCCCGTCTCCGCACCTTGCGGGACACGAGCGCGTATGGATAGAATGTCGCCTTTAGCCGGCTTCATCGTTCTCGCCAGGGATGAGGGCGCAGCGGGGAAGACAAGCGTGCCGTCGGGTCCCCAGCCAGGCTTCACAGCCTTGTGGTACGCGAGATCGTTTTCACTGAGATCGGATTGATCGCCAAACGTCTTCCTCTGTCGTTCATAGGGCCACTGGTAGGAGAGATACTATCTTAGCAATCATTTTGTCTAATGCACAAAATTTGAATACATGTTGGGCACCTCGAACCCCCACTCATCGCACATTCACTCAAGGGTCGCGCGGCAAAATGTTACGCAGAAACACAAGTGCTCACCTGAACAAATCCCATGGGCGCCGGGGAGGGCTTGGCAGCAGGAGCCTTTGCCTTCTCAAAGAGGGAGTTCATCAAGTCAATACTGGTGGCGAACCCTCGCCCATCGGAGACGACCCGGCTCGCTGTGCCGGAGCGCTCCGTCTTTTCGCCGCTAAAGCGGTTGCCGTTCTCGGCATCGTTCTTGAGAAGCGCACGATCGCGCTTCTGGGGGCTGACAGATTTCTGAAGCATGTCCATCCATGCGTCTCCATCCGCAACTTGTAGTCGTAGTGGTGTGGCGGATCCCTTGATAGCCCTCATGCGGGCGCGCAGGATGCCACCGGGAGTTTCGATGATCGGCGAGCCAGGATCATCTGACGAGTCGGTTTGTTGCTCCGCGGCGAGATGCTGTTCGAGAGAAGGACCCGTTCCATCTTCATTCTCGTACATGTCATATTCGTCGTCCTGATCAATGGCCATGCCATCCTCGGGCATGAGGATGAGGGCCTTGGACGTTGAACCCGCGGAGCTATGCCCAAAAAAAGGCTGGCTCTGGTTGGTGGTAGAGCGGAGGACGTCATCGTCCTCGTCGTCCTCGAGTTGTCCTTCGCGTTGGTCGAACGCGCCGGGAAGAGCACGCCGTTTCCTCCGAAAGTCAAAGGTGTCGTCCTCACCCGGGCTGACCAGGTCATCGGAGGAGCTGGAGTGCTCGGCGACAGTGGCAACGGCAGGAGCCCGCTGCTGCTGGCTCTGTTCGCCAGACCCGAGGTCAGCGTCCGTCTCGTCTTCATCGTAGTCGAGGCCGTAGGTGGTGAAGTGTTCAACCGAAAACTTCCAGACGCCCGTCTCGCTGTTGTAGTCGACAAAGGTGGTGTCGGGGATTTTCTTGAGACGCTCAATGTGCTTGTTCAGGCGCTTCTGGTCAATAGTTGGCCGCTTGTCGCGGCCGCGTGGCCAGGACTGATCCAGAGAGATGGTGGCGGGAACGTTGAGGCCCTTGCCAACAGGGGGCTTCTTGGCCGCGTTGGGGTAGACGGTAGCCGAACGGGTCTCGAGCACGACGATGCCGCCGAAGATCTCGTCGAGATCAATGCTGGTCAGATCGACAGGAACCTTGAATGACACATAACCAACATTGTCCCTGCCGACCGTGAAGTTGGCCACCTTTTGGCGCTGCATGCGGTTCATCGACGAGATGACATCCTGCTTGGGGCTCATCCAGTACATGCCGGGCACCTTGTCCGAGGCTTCGGTGGCAACCTGGGGCGTCTGCGCGTAGGCATCCTCCTCGTGAACGATGGCCAGCTCCTTGCCCTTCGACGGGTCGACATCGGCAGGGGAGCTCGCGGCAATCGCCTTTGTACCATTGGTGGACCGGGCATCAAGGTCGTTGCTGATGGCCGGGGCGTTGCGGGGAGTGGCAACATCGTGATCGCCGTCTTCACTGGCATCCATTGTGCTGGTGTCGAAGCTGACGCGCTTCGAGAGCTTGCGGGAGCCATTGATGGTGTCCAGAGCGGGCTTCTCCTTGGTAGGCGTGGCGAAGAGGTCACTGCGCATGTCCTTGTTGATAACAAGTTTGCGAACACTGCCCGTGTTGCCGTAGTATCGGGGACCAGAGCTGGCAGAGAAGGCGCCAGGCGCGAGGATGCTATCTTCGGCCGTGAAGCTCTTGCGCAGGCTGCTCGAAGACACACTCTTGCTCAGTCCGCGACTCAGACTCGAGCCCAGCATGCTGCGGTTCATGCTACCAGGGGTGCTGGTCACGCTCGAGGGGCTGCCACTCGGGCTGCCGTAGGTGCTGTACGAGAAACCAAAGCCCCGTTTCTGAGGGGTAACAAAGCGGGTGGAGGACGCTGGGTTCAGCTTGTACATGGGCAGGATCGAGCTCCGGCGCGTCTTGGTCTTGCTGGAGAGAGGAGTCGCGAGGGGGCCTGGGTTGGCCACCTCGTTGCCGTTGAGGTTGGAGAAGAGGGCGGGCGTGCCATAAGCAGACAGGTCTGAGATGCTAGCCGTCAGGGACTGCTGCGCAGGCGCATTGTTGTTCTGCGAGTTGCCCAAGAGGGAGCCGCCGAGCAGGGAGCCTTGCTGCTGCTGCTGGCCGCTGTTGAAGAGTGACGACTGCTGCTGGTTGTTCTGCGAGCCGAAAAGGCCCCCACCAGCAGACTGAGATGTGCCGAACAGGCTGGGTTTCGCCTGATTTTGCGCACCGCCTCCAAACAAGCCGCCTTGGCCGGTCTGCTGGTTTTGCGTATTTCCACCAAGTCCGCCGAACAGACCAGTACCTCCAGTTGTCGCTGTGTTCTGGGCCGGCTGTGCTGATCCAAAGAGCCCGGTGCCGCCAGTGGCAGGCTTCTGGGCACCGAAGAGCCCACCACCCCCAGCGCCGGTGTTCGTGGCACCGAAACCGGCGGTCGTGTTTCCGCCGGCATTGCCAAAGAGTCCACCGCCAGTGTTCGTGGCGGCACCACCGCCAAAGAGGCCGCCTGCAGGCTTCTGCTGGTTAGTGTTGCCGAACAGGGAGCCGCCAGACTGCTGGGTCTGAGCGCCGAAGCCAGTGCCGCCTCCGAAGCCGGTGCTGGCACTTTGTTGCTGCTGGTTATTGGCTCCACCGCCGAACAGGCCGCCACCCGTAGTGCCAGTGTTGCCTCCGCCAAACAGACCGCCGCCCGTCGTGTTGGCGGGGGGGTTGTTAGAACCAAAGGCCGATCCCGTGTTGCCGGCGCCGAAACCAGTGTTGGTCGGTGCCGTGTTCGTGTTGCCGAAACTGAAGCCTCCAGGTTTGGCTTGGTTGTTGGCCGTGGAACCGAACAGTCCGCCGCCGCCGGTGGTGGCTGTGTTGGATCCGAAACCGCCGGTCGCCGTGTTCGTGTTGGAGCCGAATCCAGTGCTGGCAGTGCCCGAACCGCCGAAAAGACCACCCGTCGCAGCAGGCTGCGCGGCACCGCCACCAAACAGACCACCAGTCGCAGCAGGCTTGTTCGTCGCTCCGAAGAGACCGCCACCCGTGTTGGTGCTGCCAAAAGTGCCCGTCGAACCGCTACCGAAAGCCGACGTGGTGTTGGCGCCGCCACCTCCGAAAAGGTTGCTGCCGGCCGAGGGTGTAGAGCCAAAGCCGGTCGATTGCTGCTGGGTGGTGTTGTTAGTGGCGCCAAACCCGCCGGTGCCGCCAAAGTTAGAGACACCAAACGCTCCGGTTCCACTGGCGTTGCCATAGCGGCGGCCCTGGGCGTAGTCCGTGAGCCTCAGTTCTTCAGCCGACCACTTCTGTAGGGATCCTGAAACAAGATGTTCTGGAATGAGTTGGACTGGTTGCCGGTGCCGGTGGTTTCCTTCTCCTGGTATGCCTGGAAGGGCGTCGTGTTGGTGCCGGGCGGGTCGCTGGCATTACCACCGATGCCTGGGTTGTTGGTCGCGCCGAAACCACCAAAACCTGTCGTGCCGGACGTGTTGCCACCACCACCAAACAGAGAGCCCGTGCCTGTGTTGTTGTTGGTGGTGCCGCCGCCGAACATGCCGCCGCCGGTGGCTCCAAAGCCCGTCGAGGTTCCGGTGTTGGCGGTCGTGTTATTGCTGCCGAACCCGCCGAAGGAGGTTGTGCCGGTTGAAGCGTTGTTGCCAGAGCCGAACAGGCCGGTGCCAGAGCTGGAGGCCGTCGTTCCAAAGGCACCGGCAGGTTTCGCGCCAAAGGCGCTGTTCGTATTGTTGGCACCGAAACCTGTTTTCGCTTTGTTAGCAAGAGGTGGGAAAGCGGACTTTGAGGGGACTGCGTCGCGAAAGACAAGACCTACCCGAAGAGGTGGTGCCAAAGCCTCCACTCGTGTTGCTGTTGTTGCCAAAAAGGCCACCTCCGGTGTTTGTATTGGACCCAAAGGCGGTAGCGGTATTATTGGTCGCTCCGAATCCTGTGAGCATCGAGACGTTAGCATTCCGAACCAGAGGCACGAGGCCAGGGAGACCGCAGGAAGCAGAGCCGCGATATGACGCACCGGTGTTCGTGTTGTTGGTCGAGCCGAAGCCTCCAAAGGTCGACTGCTGAGTATTGTTGTTGTTGTTCTGACCGAAGCCGCCAAAGCTGCCGCTGCCAAAGCCCGACATGGTGGGCAAGCTCTGTGAGCCGGAGCCTATTTATGTTGGGAGGGGGGGCCGGGTAGGGCCAATGTTTGTGCGTTTCGTCCCTTTGACGCAGGCGCAAGGGCTGAAGATAGATGGGTGAGGGTCGTCGCTATGACGAGTTCTGCATGTGCGGTCGATGAGCGACGAGGCTGGCGAGGATGGAGACTCGATGAGGCGAGAAGTCGCCGGAAGAGGTTCGCGATGAACGGTGATGACAGAAAAGGCGCGGACGCAAGAAGTGTCGACTGAGGTTTCAGGACAGGCGCGAAAGGTGAGACGACGCGGAGAGCGAACTCGGTCGAATTGGGGCCCTTGCTCTGTGGCGAGAGACAAAGGAAGAAGTGGGAGACTGGGGATCGAAAGCTGGTCAGGGATACGCCGATGAAGATTTGGGACGCGACGTGGTGGAAGGGAATGCAGGCTCGTTTTCGAAAGTGTTTTGTCTCGTCGGCAGAGATAGAGAGAGAGAGAGAGAGGGAAAAAAACAAGGTCGACTCACAGGAGGGAAGGGGAGGGGATATTAGAACCAGTCGGTACGTGCGACAAAAGGAAGAGATGGACCTGGTTGCATCTCTCGCCTCGACGTCGACTCCCTGGGTTTTTGTGGTGGATGGGGAGAGAGAGAGGGAGCTGCCAGGCTGGTGGTGGTTGGAGAGGTGCAGAGGTAGCAGCAGACCAGGTTCGCGACTTTTGTGATTAGGTAGGCTCGGAAGGTGCCTTGGGACGCTTTCCTCTTGCTCTTACTCGTCGTGCTGCGCAGTTGGCCAATCGCAAGGCTCCAAACTGGTTGTAGCTTTCAGAGCTTTGCTGCCTGAGGACGGCGCCACAAGGCCTCTGGTCAGTGGGCCAATTGCAGAGCTCGATCCCCCGAGGCAGTCGTCTCCAGGGAAGGCCCTTTCCTTCAGAGCAGCCTGAACAATGGTCACGAGATTTATGAGTAGCGAATTAAGACTACCTACCTTACCTACCATAGGTACCAGACACCTAACATGGGGCACCTAGATATACAGATGATCCAACCTGCTGTATGCCTTGCGCTCCCATGCTTGGATGACTATTGTCATTATTGCGATGCTGCTTCGGGTTACTCAGGTCATGGCTCGAGTGGATAGGTACCCAGGTAGTCATCAGAGTGGACCTTACAAGACACAGCAGCATTCGTTCCCTCCCTCTCTCCCCCTTTCTCTCTCTCTCTGTGCCTCGTGCTTGCTATTGGTCCAAGTCTTCTCATTCGGCCATCAGCAAGACAATCGTCATGTTCCTGCAGCTGGCCACGCTCCATGCGTCACACAAATACATACGCACACACAAGAAGCAAGCAATCCACTGACCCGTTCCTACATTCATCTCAATCAGTCTATGGCCGCCACTCCGACAATTGTCTCGGACCCCTCCCCCTCTGTCTCTGGTGAACAGCTTTCAAGCCTGCCTTCCTGTCGTCCTGCTTCAGCAACCCTCAGCTCAACTCCCGAGCTGCTGCTGCCAGAACAGACAGTGCGCAGGGAAAATAACAAGATGCAAGACCCCGATGAACGAAGGGTGGTGATCAGAAAAGTATTTGAACATGAAACGCCTGTTACCGGCGTTGTCTGCTCGAGAACTGGAGTAGGAAATCAAGTGTGCAGGGCCTTGGAGCCCCCTCCCTCTCCCTCTCTTCCACAATTGCCTGCCTTCTCTTCCTCTTGCCCCGCCTAGAACTGAATAAGATCCTGGTTCTGGTTGGGTCTTTGCTGTGGCTGCGTTCCGGCAAAGGGGTTGTTGTTTCCCTGCCCACCCAGGCCGGGAGCGCCCGTTTGCGAGACCTGCAGCTGGCTGCCTCCGTATGTCGTGTTCGGCATACCCGTGAACTGGGTCCGCAGGAACGGGTTGCTGCCCGTGGCGTCCGCCGTCAGACGCTGCGCCCCTGAACCGGCACTGTTGACAAAAGTACCTGGCGCCGTGTGCTGGGCCGGGATGCGCAGCTGGCCCGTGTTGCCGTACGTGTCCATGCCGTCGCCGCTCGCAAGGAGCGCGTTGAGTTTTGCCTCGTGCTCGTTGAGTTCCTTCTGCGGCGTGCCAAAGGAGCTTGTTGGCTGACTGAAGCTGGTGCTCGGCTGGTTGTTGAAGGTTGACAGCGTCTTCTGCTCCGGCAAGCTTCCGAGTGCCGGCATGGAGGGATCTTCTGAGTCTGCGGTCGCCGAATGCCGACGATCCGGCCCGTGGGCGCTGGCGCAAAGGGGTTGTTCGAGCCCCGTCTTGCATCGCGCGCAAGGGCGACTGTGACTGCTGGTTGTTGTTTCGTCGCCCAGGGGTTGTTGCTACCAGCTTGAGGAAACGGGTCTTTGCGCCCGCAGGCGACTGTGTCTGCTGCTGCTGTTGCTGGTAAGGGTTAAATCCTGTTGGCTGAGGCTGGAATGCTGGCATGCCGGTAGGCTGCTGCTGCTGCTGCTGGCCGAACGGATCCAACGCCGTCATCTGGGGCTGCATGCCATATCCACCATAGCCGTTTTGGAAGCCCGTCTGCTGCGGCTGCTGTTGCGGAAAGCCGGTATATTGGTTGCCGAGATAGCCGGTGGGCTGCGGCTGCTGCGCGTTCTGGTCAATGGGGTTGGCGAAGAAATCGACTGCGCTGCCCTGCTGATAGCCCTGGTTGAAGCCGGTGAACTGTGGTTGGGCGGGCTGTGACTGCTGAGTGCTCTGCGTGGGTGTGTCGTCAAAGAGGGATATCGCGTTGCTCTGCTCGAGCTCCCGTCGTCTCCGCTCCTCCTCCTCCTGACTGAGCTTGATGGCCTTGGCCAGATCATCGTCGTCGACGTCGACTTGGCCCTGGTTACGCCTCTTGCGGTCCTCTTCCTCCTGGTACTTGCTGGCCTCAATAGCGAGCCTGTACTCGGCGTCGTCCTCGTCGTCGCGGCGCGCTCGGGGCTCTCTTCCTCCCCGGTGCGAGGGTCCAGCTTGCTGAGGCGCGTATTCTTCGAGGCCAGTCACGCGGGACTTCCACGACTTTCGGTCGCTGCGCTCGGCGCGCAGTCTCTCTTCGTCAAGGACGAGCGATGTAAGCTCCTTCGCGGCGACGCGTACTAGCCGGACTGTTAGCCAATGTGACCCAATGTGAGCATAAGGGTATGCGCCGGGGCGCAGGAATTCCCATGTGTACCATTTTGACCCACGTCCCTGCCGTCATCGTCGA